TGAAGTCGGAACGTTCATTCGACGATCACCTGCGCACCCCACCTCCGCCCAGCAGCTCAGCACGGTGCTGCGTCTGCGTGGTACACGTCTGTGCTTTGTCTGTGTTTCGGCCAAACTACTTCCCAGAAAGTTTCAGGCGTGATGACTTCAAAATACCTGAGCCTGCGTCTCCTGAAAGCGCGACGTGCTCCTTCGACTCCCGCCCCGCGGCTGTCACTGAGACGGGAGCAGGACTCCCATGTCCAGTGCCTGAGCTCCCTCGGGCGGCGACGCAACGGGGACTTACTTTCTCACCATCCCGGAGCGTGGCAGGGAGGCCCTCGCGAGGCCTCTCTCCTGGGCGTGCGGGTGGCCCCTCCTGGCGCGGGGCTCTGCGCAAACTTCCCTTTGCTCGGGCACCGGCTGGGCCAGGCCAGCCACGCCCGTATGACCTCACCTTTCCCCACGGCCCCTTTGGAGAAACCGTCCCCAGGGCAGTCTCACTCTGGTCCTGAGGGGCTCTCGGACTCCGACACAGGGATTGGGGGTGCAGCTCGGCCTGCGACACCGTCTGTGTTCATTGCCCCCATCATTCCCGCTGCTCCGTCTCCGTGGTCGTTTGTTCTGTGTGTTTATCTGACAAGGGTGCATTTGAGGTTCGTACCTGCATTTTGGTTTCTGTGTCTCTCTTTTGTCTTTTAAAGCGGCTGCCCGACTTTCTTCCCTGACCTGACTTGACCCTAGTAAAGCGGCTTTTCTCCCAGTGACCGCCTTCCCTTTCCAGAGAATCACAAACCGCCTGCGTGGGACTCGCCGCAGCGTGATTTTGCCAGGCCCACGGGGGCTCACACGGCCCGTTTCTTTGAGAGACGCGTTTCTGCGTCTCCACAACACACGGGACCACGTCCAGCCTGCTCGCTCCTCCCCGTGGACACCGGGCCCTGCCGCGGGCCCTCCCCACCTGCCCTTCTTTCTCCTGCCTTTTCCCGTGGTCACTCTGTTCCCGTTCCCCACGAAGCAGCCGCGCCTCTTAGGGACGCTGGGCACGTGGTCTTAGCAACGCCGATGTCACCACCGCAAGGTCACCGTTAGGACCCCAACTTTGACAGGTAGGCGGGTCGTCCGTGGCCGTGTGGTCTGTAACAGGAGACACAGGCCTGGGACCGCAGAGCCCAGGTGTGCTGTCTGTGAGGGACCCTGAGTCTGGCGGGTCATCTGGTGGCGGCAGGATACGTCTCCTAATCCCTGCAACCTGTGAGCCTCCCACGCCACGTGGCCCAGGTGTGCTCAGCAACTGACTTCGAATCGGGGTTCTCCTGGGTTACCCAGGTGGGCCCAGCGTCATCACGGGGCCTGCGCGTGGAAGAGGTGGGGGTGGGGGGTGGCAGTGGCTCCGCCAGCAGCGCTGGTCCGAGGACAGAGGGAGACACGGCCGCCCCGGGGCCGGAAGAGGCCTGCGGAGGAACCAGCCCTGCCCACCCCCCGGGGCCTTCCGGACCTCGAATCTCCAGGGTGTGAGCAGAGAAACTTGTGCTGTTTCAAGCTACGAGGTGTGTGGAGTTAGTCACGGCGCCCACGGGAGACCCCCACGGAGGCCACAGGACCCCTGGGCGACGGTGAGCGGAGCTTGTGCGCCGAGGCCCCCACCTGCCTCCCGGACAGCCGTGCCACACGCGGGCCTCTGCCAGACCGTCGGAAAGTGGATGTGGAAATTATTGTTGTTTCTGTGTCAAAGGCGGCACTGGAGACGAGGTCACCTGCCGGCCTCACGGTGGGAGGGAGGAAAGCGAGAGCTGGTCCCTGGTGTTTGCGTCCTGCCCAGACACAGCCTCATCCATACCTCGCACCTGCCTTTACGGGCCACCGAAGGGTCCACGGCGCAGCCGGATTTTTCCCAGGGTCCTTTCTGCATGCGGTGAGAGGAGGGCGTTAGACGCTGCAGTTGTCCAGGACGCTTCTGGGCCGTGTCCCTTCCTCGGTGACACTGCTCTCCCTGCCTCCTCCCACCTCGACCCAAACGCCGCCCCCCACGCGTCCCCTGGCACGATGTCCATGCAGCCCCCTCCTCCTAGGCCGGCCCGCGCCCCCCAGGGCTTTTCCTTCCCTGGATCCGCCGTCCCCCTGCTGTTCTGGACCACGCGGGCCACAAAGCAGAGGCACTGGGGGCTGCGCCACCCGTGCGGCGGTGTCTGGGCCGGCGCCCCAGGCCTTGGCTCTGCGCGTGGGGCGCATGAAGCCAGAAGCACCGTTTCCCGCTTGGAGCTCATCTCTGCGCCTCTTTGCTGCCCCGGTGACTGTTCTCCGCGGTTCCTGGCATTTTCCTGCCTGCTGTCAGTTTACATCTCAGTGAGCTAATGGGCCAGTTTCCTGCACAGTTTTCTTCCTTTGCTATCCAGGAGCCGCCACTGGTGTGGGCTGGGCAGGGCCGCCATGACCACTGCAGGGGCTGGAGGTCGCGCCTCAGTCAGGGACGCACCTGCCCACCCCCCACCCCAAGGCAGCTTTAATCTCCTCAGTCCACGGAGACAGGCCGGGAGTTTTTTCCTAGTGATACTGTGTGTTCTCAATACAAGACCACAACAAAAGATAAGGAAGCCTCACCAGACCTTGTGTTGCAAGGAATCTGTCTTTTAGGACAGCTGTCCCCAGCCTTTGTGGCACCAGGGACCGGTTTTGTGGAAGACAGTTTTTCCACGGACCAGGAGGTCGGGGGGAGGGATGGTTTCAGGGTGACTCAAGCACGTTCCATTTACTGTGCAGTCAGACCTCTCTGACCTGGCAGGGTGTCTCCGGAGCCTTCCAGCGGAGGCCCAGGGTGGCCAGTGTCAAAGCGGAATCACGTCACTGTTAACTTTAAAAGCAGCGTGTTGGAGCAAACTCACGTTAGGAGCACCAAAGCTTGAAGCCCTGTCTTCAACTCACCACTGTCCTTAGAAGGGCGACCTCAGGGGAATCGCATTCCTTGCACAGGACACTGCAGCGGTCTCCAGACTCGTCCTCCACGCGGCGGGCGGCGCAGGTCCCGCTGCAGATGGCGCCGCTGCCATTGAGAGGACCAAGTCCACAGGCTGCGTTTTAATTCTCTGAGACTCCCAGACTTAGGAAGCACTTTCTTAATTTTCCGATCAGAAAGTCCAGCTGGTGCCCGTCCCCTGGGCTGTCACTGCAACCTGTGCCCCGAGGCTCCCTGAGCAGAAACTTCTGGCTGTGATTCTCCCCCATCCCCTCTCGCTCCGGCCCTGCTCTTTGTGAAGGCTTCCCCGACGGTTGGGAGCTGTCCTCACTGCTTTGTCGCAGGTGCCGACGCTGGCTGTGTTGAAAATACCTGTAATGAGGCAGCGCTCAGGTGACCCTCTGGAACCCTCTGGAAGCTGCTAGAAGTCCTGCTCTTTGATTCCGGAGCTCTGTGGCAGCTGCAGCAGCAGGCACAGCACACCCACTTCTGAGCAGAGCCTGAGTCTTGCTCTGATGTGTCTGTGGGGTGCCACGCTGTGAACTGGCTTCCGGAACTTAATTTTTGGGGTAGTGTTTGTAGTGCGTTCGGATGTCAGAGTTGACCAATTTTCCTGGTAAATTTTATTTCAGTTTCCTGCCACTGCCAATTCTCACTCCCTCAAGAACAAATCTGTGTGGGAGCCCAAAGCCATTCAGTCCATGGGATTTCCGTACCGTTCACAGCTTGGCTCAAAGCTGGTGGGATGATCTGGAAGCTTCCACAGCGCAGGATGTAAACGCGCACGCATGCAAGCACGTCAGGTAGCACACATGTTCCCTTCCCCCTGTCCCTGCTGGAAGGCACTAACTCTGACGCTGCAGAGGACTGGCGGGCTGGCGTCCACCGGGCAGTGCCCGGTCCCCAACAGGCCACACTTCCCTGGTCCCACCAGGTAGGAGACTCTCCACGTTCCTAAGTAAAATCCCCAAGAGAAATGAAAGAAACACAAATAAAAGCAAAGTTCCTGTGGCTTCACTGCCACTACCGAGCTGCTCCACGGTTGGAGTCACTTCCTCCCTGGGGCCACAGTCTGCGGGGACTGCCACCACGGTTGACCTCGGGAAGCAGGACCAGGGCGGAGGTCGCAGAGCCGCTGGGCGCCTGGTTCCGGGGGCCCCGGCCCAGGTTGTCCGTCTCTTCCCAGAGGGGTGGCTGTGCCTCCCCCAGAGGCCGTTCCTGCTGCGGAAGGTTGCAAGGCTGAGCGCTGCGCCGTGTCCAGGCTCAGCCGACCGCCTGCCCGGGGTGCACCTGCCGCACCCCCAGAGAAGGGGAGGAGGAAGGCCCCTCAGCTTCCTCCTCTGCGAGCCTCCCACGTCCCCCTGAGGGTCACGCTGGGAAAGGTCCTGGAAACAAGCCAGGAGGAGGGGTGTGGCCGCGAACAGGAGGGGAATGTTCCAGAAGGAAAGTTAAGATAACCCGTGAATCAGATGCAAGCAGGAGGAGAATGTTCTAGAAGGAAAGTTAAAATAACCCGTGACTCAGACACATCACACTTAGATCCCAAGTGCGGCCGACTTCAACTCCAGTTGAGCCGAGTGCCTGGGAAGGGCGCGTGTTCATGCCGCGGCGTCCGTGCTCCTACTAACGCTCCCACCTCTCCTTCCTCTTACGCGCATTTTCTCTCTCCCTCCCCTTGTAAAACTAAATCCCAGTGACTCAAGGATTTAACCGTTTATCGACCACAGAACTGCGTATTCTGGACGGTGACCTGTTGCTTAATACTGATGTTTGTATTTATTGCCTGTATGTTACCAAATATGTCCGTTATTTAAAGGCAAACACTACTCTGAAAATATAAATAAAGGCGAACACTGTAAAATCTCGCAGAGGAGCACCTCACCTCGGGACCTGAGCTTTACGTAGGACAAACGCGAGTCTGGATTCCACCCAGTGAGGGCCTGGCGCAGTCCCCGCGCTCCCGCTCGTCCGCCTGTGCGTGGAAGGGCCACCACCGGCGGGGAGACCGGGGACGGCGGTGTTGACACTGGGGGCCGTGGGGACTCTGACCACCTGCTCTTGTTTGCAGACGACCACTCCAGGGTCCAGCTGAAAGTGGAAAGCAGCCTGGGCAGCTCGGACTACATCAACGCCAGCCCCATCGTAAGTACCCGGCCCGGGCGCTGGGCTTTGCCTCCGGGAGCAGGGCGCAGCGGAACCAGGCAGGGAGCGGGAGGCGAGGGCCTCCGTGGGAATGGAGTCCGCTCTGCTCTGGGCCGTGGGCTGTGCCGAGTCTCTGCCCTGCCAGGCTCCTGGCCCTGTGCCACCCTCCCCGTGAGCAGAGCCGTCCAGGGACCCGCAGAACCACGTCCTGAACAGAACCCTTCTAGGCTTCTGGGGAGAGTCTGTGGTCAGTGGCATCCTCTTTTGCTAGAACCGCTTATCCACTGTTTATTCTGGAGAGGTGGGGAAACGAGCACCAAACCTGCCTCTTTTTTAACCTTCAGTGACACTGAGGCAGGTTTGAACTCGTAGGTTCATTTCTTCTAGGTTTTTCCAGCCGCAAGACCCTTCCTTCATAAGGAAAAGAATGTGGGTGGGGGGGCTGTGCCTCCTCTGGGGGCCGACATGCTGGGGGAGTGGAGAGGAGCAGACGTGTCCCTGTTTCCGGGGACGGGCATAGCAGGTCCCCCTGCACCACGTGCTGTGAGCCCTGAGACCTCAGGGCCTGACTTCGGGGGCTCCGCACCAGCCCACACCTGGTGGCTCATCCTGCCGCCCCGCTTTACTTCTGGGCATCCACGGAACAATCTCCCCATCTTGAACCTCAGGGGGGCTGAGGGTTAAGGGACAGGTGGACGCTAACCAGGGTGAGCAACGAATGGGGGGGGAGGGGGAGGTGCAGGGGCCGAGAGGTTTCCGGAAGACGGGGTGGGTGCCTGGGTGCAGGTGGGCGGCCGCAGGCGGAGGACGGTGCAGTGGAGCTGTCCAGACAAGGGCGTTTAGGGACCAGGCTCGGTGGCATTTTAAACCAGCGGACGGGGGTCGAGGTTTGGTGCAGGTTTTCGGTGGATGTGGGCTGCAGCGTCCTCCCTTTAAACCGTCTTTCTCGGTGCTGAGCTTTGGGGATCGTGCGGGCACCTCACCAAATCCCACACTTGCATTTAATCAAAGTGGCGCCCGCGGGTGCCGCCGCGCCAGGGCCGAGAGAGACGCAGGTTGCCCCCAGGCGCAAATGGCACCCTGAAGTCTGGTCTCAGCTCCTCGAAGCCGCGGCTGAATCCCTGGCCCTTCTGATACAAGCGCAGCCGCCGCGGGCAGCCGCGCCCTGAGCTGCTGACACTTCCCGGCACTGCGCAGCCACACCGCGAGCGCCCTCGGCCTTGGAAAGTGAATTCAAAGTGAGGAGCTGGGCTGGCGCCTTGTCTATACCCCCTGAGCCCAGACTCCTGTCGACGTGATCGTGTCGGGAAGGAGTCGCCGCTTGGCTTCCACAAGCTGGATTCCGAAGATAGGTTCCATCTGGTTCCGGTTGGAGCCATGCAGTTTGTCCTTCTCAAGAAGATGTGATAGAGTCAGCATTTTTCTGTCAATTCTAATTAAAAAAATCAAACCAAAGCCTCGCTGACTTGCCAATCTCTCATTTCACGAACCGAACGTCATTGGTGGTGAAGTCAGGCTTGCCACTGCCCGGCCTGTCCCTGCACTGGACCATCACGATGCCAGCCCGACGCGGAGACAAAAGCCGTCCTCTCCGCGCTGAGGTCCTTTTCCCTGAGACGAACCGTTTGGCGAGGCCAGAATTGGAAATAAAGCCATGATTTTCGAGTCTAGAAGGCAGGAGCTCGGTGCTGTGGCTGTGCCCTACTCGCCTCCACCTCACGGCTCCAGTGGGCAGGTGTCCGAGCTCCTCCGGCCTCGGTCAGGTCCCAGCGTGGACACCGGTGCCGGCGCGGCCACCGCGTCCCCTTGGAAGCCGTCGACAGCTTTTCTGCGCACGCGGGCGCTGAGGCTGCGCGCTGAGGGCAGGGAGGATCCCTGCGCGTCTGCGGCTCCTGTCCCCCCCATCAGCAGAGACGCAGAGTCACCCTCCGGGCCCCGATGGGCAGGAGCCGGGTCACGGCCAGGCCAGGAGAGGGAGTGACGTCGTAGCACTTCGTGTTTTTCCGCTATTTCATACCACGATTCTTTTTCTTCCAATTGTGGTTGTAAGAATGAACTAGAAGAAAGCCATGGTGCCTCTTCTTTCTGAAACAACTGGAGCTACGATGGTAATGACCTTCCTCGCAGCAGCTGACCTAGAAGCTCACAATCACGGCGCAGGGAGACCCTGGCTGTGCAGAGCAAAACCGCGATAATTACGTCTGTCATATTTGTCCTTAGTCCTCATTGAAGTTCAGGGAAGTCGTCCAGCGGTAAATAATGCGCAGTCTTCCCTTTCAGATCGGAGGTCACGACAGCAAATGGGAGTTTGTTCTCCTGCACGGGGCGTCTGAGAGACAAATCCGTCAGCTGCATTTAAAACCTCGCTCGGTCATCACCAAGAAGTGTCGTTAACACGGGAGCACACGGCACACACGTGTTATTACCGGGAGCAAGTCTGAAATTCCCAGTGACACTGAAAAATAAGCTCAGTCTTCATCCCACTGTTTATTAAAGCAGAAAAAACCGTTTGAAGTTTCAACTCAGAGGCATCTGTCTAATTCAGGAAGGGACAAGCGGCATCTCAGCAAAGGGTGAGAGCTCGATATCGTAAGAAATTGTCCAAATGTGGGAGCCAATTCCTCGGTTCTCAGAAAATATTTACAACCAAACATCTGTGTGTATAATACAGTTAATGTTCGGGATTTTACTTAAATAAATCTCAACACGTAAGACTAAAATACAAAAATAATTCATAATAGTTCATAAATCAGTCTCCCATTGATCACCAAAAGCTACAATTTTCCAGTAAATTCCCACGTTAAGACTCGATATCCGGAAAAGTGACTTGAGGACTCAGGCCTGATGTGTGTGTGCTTTCGAGGAAGCGTCCTGTGAACCGGCTGTGCGTGTCAGCGGAAGGCGGTGGGAGGGAGCCGCGCAGGACGCAGGTGGTTGCACGCTCCTCCCCGTGCAAGGTGTCAGAGCGAGGGAGTGGCCGGAGCGTTCTGAGACTTCGGATCGCGGCTGCTGGAGGCGGGACTGGTGTGGGGCGGAAACTGGCCCTCATCCGCTGGCCGCCGGCGTGGCTGCCGCGTCACTGCTCTGTTCGAGACCTTCCAGGCCGCAGGACTCAAGTCCCGTGGTCTCCACATGCCAAATGCTTCGCTTTTAAAATCAGTTTTATTTGGAATATTGGGGGAAATATGGCTAAGCTTTTAGACGCAGATTAGAGTTTCTAAAGATAAAACCAGTCACCCACGCTTACCTCATAATTGCCATCCTGTAGCTTAAGGCAAATCCCTAGGTGGCTTTTTAAACGATGCACTTGGAAAGGTGCAGGAATGTGCCTCCCTGTGCCCTGTTTCATCCGATGCTTCTAAAGAATCAGTCTTCCGAGGGACAATAGAGTCAACACACAAATGGTTTTTCTTTTTCTGGAAAAATCAGTAAAAGCGAAGCCACACCGTTAATTGTACTTGCCCTCTGACCGACTATTTTCGCGAGGTCACTTGGGTGAGTCACATGGCCTCTCTGGACAGTGTCACTGCTGGACTTCCTGCCTCCTCACCCTTCAAGCGCCACCCACTCAGCGCCACCGGATGCACCCAGACTGTGCTCGTGGGACCTTCCTTCCTGGGCACTCACAGAGGAGAGCGCACGCGTGTGCTCGGCCACAGGCCACCCGACAGCGTGGGGTCTGGGACTGGCCAGGTCTTCGCGGCGGCTACGCCCAGGACGCAGGCACAGGCACGCACAGATGAGTCTGCGTGGAACCAGAGCCAACGGGCACGTAGAGACTGCACTGTCCAACCCTCTCGCTCGCCGGCCACCCCCACCTTCCTGACGCCGCCACTCAGGCCCAGAGACGTAAACCGACCTTTCTCCAAGGCCATGTGATTTTCGTGGGAACGTTACATTTGCGCAGATAGGAAGTGATTACCAGGAGACGGAAATAACAGGAAAGTAGGAGGGAAAATCGGGAACAGCTCGGAGGAAGGCTGCGTCAGCAGCGCAGCAGGCGGGAGATGCGCATCACTGCGCCAGGGCCTCAGAGCATTAGGAGCAACTTAGTTCACTTTCCCCAAACGCACTTATCCTGCCTCGAAAATCTTACGTGTAGTGAAACTTCTGTGTGTTTAGCTAAATAGTTGCTTTGCTGTTAGACTGCACGAAACCACGACACACACAGGACGCTTCTGCCCAGAACGATCTTCTGTTCACCAGAACGTGCGTGGGATGAAATAATTGTGATCGCCTTTCGAATTACTGTTACACGGACGCCACGTCTACGCACTCTGGGCTCCTGCTGTCTGCCACACTCCCAGCAGCGGAGCAGGCGGAGACGCGAGGCCTGTCCGGCTCAGCCGCGGGGTCCAGGCTCCCGTGCGCTGACCACTTCCCAGCGCCCGCGTCTGTCTTTGTGTCTGTCCTGGGTACTGAGCAGCTGACGGGTTTGAGGAACTCAGGACGCCGGCACAATTCGGACCCATCGCAAACGCTGCCTTCTTCACCCTCCTGTCCAGATTTTTACTTGTAATCACATATTTATATTTCTCATTTTGAAACAACTAACGTGCTAGTTTGAACATGCTCACAATTTTAAGATGTGTTGCTGTCGAAATTGCTTTGGGGAAAAAGCACGTTTGAGAAGGAGGTGGAGTTTTCCTTTTTACGCGTGACTATTTGCAGGAAGAGACGGGGTCTCCGTAAATAGCTGTCACCCCCAGCAAATGCATATTTCAAAAAATCAAAACTCCCTATTCCTGCTAAGCATTTTTCTACTGAAACATTTTAATTGGGGCTTTCAGTGAGAGTAACATAATTTTACCTGTATTGTGTGTGTTGTGGTGAATTTCGAAAGAAGGTCCAGTTTAATTACGAATCGCTAAATCAGATGCACAAAAAGCCTTTCTCCCTGCACCCCCAGCCGGCGTGCATTGCTGTTCTGTTAGAATAACTTACATCTGCTCCTTTATGCAGCTCCCTCTTTTATGGTGCAATAATTATAAGGTGCACCGGGTGTGTTCTCTCGCGCTGACAGCCGTCATCTCCGGGACGTGGCGGCTGTGCGCGGGCTCGTGGGACGACTGCCGGAGAAAACGTGCCTCCATCGACTCTTCCCCAAACCCAAACCCCCAAAGCCCTGTTTTAAGGTGACACCGGGCCCTCCTCGTGTGTCGGCGTAGAAGTCCATGTGGTTAAAACTCTCTCATTTTTCACTGTGTTGAGAAACGTATTCTTAATAATTATCTTTAAATACAAAGCATTTAAAGTCTTTACTCAAACCTGGTATCAGAAGAGTAAATCCTAGTCCCACACACGTCAGGACGGGGGGCTGTGCACGCCGGGTCGGCAGCCGTCCCACCCGAGGCCAGAGTCCTCCGGCAGAGCCCCACGCTCTCCTCTGGGGTCGGCCACCCCGGGCCCTCCTGGGGGGTGCCAGGAAGCACTGGGGGTGGCAAAGGTGATGCAGTGTCCCCCGTCCCTTTGCAGGTGGCCTGGGCTTGCCAGCCAGGGACGAGCCCGAACAGCCCCTAGCAAGCTTCTCAATCCTACCGCTGCCCAAGACCTTGTTCTCAGTTTTGCTTTTTTTAAGTTTTTTCCCTGCTTAGTCAGTCTGTGAATTAAATGTCATGATTAAGGTCTTTTAAGCCAAAGTTCCCCGTTAGAGCTAGCCGAATGCGTTCGGGCCAATCAGCAGGCCGGGGAGCCCACGCCGGCCCCTTGTCTGGTGGGTAGAAGTGTCGATCAGAAGGAAAACAGCTCCCGAAGGCTGGGCCCCCGTCACCGAAGAGCCTGCCGCCCCGGGCTCAGGATGCACACACAGGCCCCGGGAGCCGGCTGTGCCAAAGCCGCCTTTTCAGGATAAACAAAAACAAGAAAAGTTTCTCAGGGACGCAGGGTGCAGGCGTTGATTCCCGCTCCCAGGGCCCCGGCGAGTCCAGCCGCGCTGCGGGGGCCGGGTGAGCGGTGCCCTCCCCACGGCTAAGAGCCCAGGCTTCCCCCTCCCCCGCAGCACCTGCGGGTCCAACAGGTGGGCTCATGACTCTGAGCACGGGGTGGACCCAGAGGTCATCCCAACTGGTACCCTGGCTGAGCACTCTGGAATCACCTGCGTGGTGAAAACACGGCCCGCGTGGCTGCGGCCGCCTGGGCAGTGAGCTGATGACCGCCGCCGGTCCCCCTGGGCCGCTGGTCTCATTCCTGCTGGTGCTACGCTGAGAACCTCAGTCTCAGGTGCAGGAAAAGCACTTCAGACGTGGTGGCCAGGCTCGGAGGGGGATGATGCCGCCGGGGTGTCTCCTTTGGCAGGAGTCGTGTGTTACTAGGGCACTCGGTTCAGGACAGGCCACTCCAGCGCCCCAGACCTGGGCTCTATTCCTGTTCTCCTAACGCTTGGCTAACCCTGTCGCGGCACCCCTGTCTCCGCAGATGGACCACGACCCCAGGAACCCTGCGTACATCGCCACCCAGGGACCACTTCCTGCTACCGTGGCCGACTTCTGGCAGGTGAATTTTTTTAATTAAAATTTATTTTTATAAAAGATCTTAATAAATCGATCATGAATGATGTCTTTGAATTCGGTTAAGCAAGTTCCAACTTGTCTACAGGTGTCCGTCAGATGTGAGTCGATGTCAGAATTTATATGAGTCCTTCAGTATTTTTATTATCAATCTTTTTTTCAAAGCTTGTGAAAAAATCCCCTTTGAGAGATTAATGCTTTCCAGATCTTTACTTCTTAGTCATTTTACAATTTTGTTTCATGCAATAGAGAAATGAAGTTAGTAAATGTTTAAATTATTATGTTTTATTCAAATGTACCCTCTTCTCTATGACGTTTAAAAAATGGTGCTCGAATTCGTTCACCTTCTCGGTGGAGTCTCTGTAACGCGTCCTGAAGGTCAGGCTGTTCTCTTCTCACCCGGCACAGCCCTGCACCCCCAGACCGAGGCCCAGGCGTTGGGAGCTGACGTTGGCTTCAGCCGATGGGAGCAAAATTTGGGGGCAAACAGCCCCCCTCTACCCTTCCCCACCCTGCCCCCATCATCAGCCACGGGGCAAAGCCACACAGGAACGGGGTTTGGAAAGTGCCATGTGGGTCACCCAGGGGGTGCCCCTTCCTACTCAGCAACAGCAGTAAGCTCCTACTGTGCGTCCCCAGAACACGGCACAAGGGCTCCTCTAAGGAGAGTCGGGCCAAGGACAGAGATAGGAACAGAAAGCGTCACTCCCGCGGTAGCATCCGGTGGGTGAAGCGCCTGTCGCGGCAGGGACACGCGCAGTCGAGCTACAGCAGCAGGTCGATCTAGAGACTGAGCCATTCCGTGTCCCTGGAGGTGACGCCGTCCTCTGAGTCGGGGGTGAGAGGACGTAGGTTACCTGGCGAAAGACGGGCACGTTCACCTGTCCTCCAGTCTCTGCCGTTCCCTCAGCCTCACGTCCCTCTCAACTTTCCCACCAGCCCTCTCCTGACTCCACCTGAATCAGGGAAATGTCCTCAGTCCCTGCACGGGTTTTCTGGAAGAGTCTGGAAGGGACCAATATTTACTCAGGGCCGCTGGGTGCCCTGTGAGCACGTTGACACTCAGACGTCACAGTCCCAGATGGGCGAGGCCAGTGGGTGTTCTAGACGTTGCCTCATCCTCCAACCAGGGGATGAGGCTGGGTCGGGGACGTGCTGCTGTGGCCACCTGCTCCCGTCTGTCTGCGTCTCTGTGCTGTGGGGGGGGGCCAAACTGAATGTCTGGGTCACATCGTTGGACCATTAACCTTTGGCCTGCAATGTCCTGAGGACCCCCTGGTGCGCCACCCACAGCTGCCCTCGGTTCCTCCGTGTCACGCCTGCAGAGAGCCGCCTGCCCACGCGAGGGCCCCAGTCACAGAGCGCTTGGCGCCCGTGGGCCGTATCACTTGGGGCAGCGTTGCGGGGTAGGAGGCTCTTCCCTACGTCACGCACAACTGTCCCAGCCCTGCCCTGGGATTCAGCCCGAGGGTCCCTTCCAAGCTGTTCTCCGCTGCCCACCCCAGCTTCTCGCTGAGCAGGAAAGGGACCTGGCGCCCTGCACGGACCGGTGGGACGAGGAGCAGAACCCCAGCACCCCCGGAGTGCCACCTGCCTTGACCCGCTACCCAGAGGTACACGTGCGTGTGGCGGGCAGCGCTCCCAAGTGCGTGTTCTCTACGCGTGCCAGCCGCAGGCCCCGCCCCCGACTTCCAGTTCATCCCTCTCGTGGGCAGGACCTCCCCCTCCAGCGGAACCCGCTCCTGCAGGGCAATGGTGGCACCTAAGGGCGATTGCCAGCGTCCTACGACCACCCGCCACGTGCCGGGTCCCGTGTGAGGGTTTCGCGTGTTCACACGTAGGCTGTCGGATCGTGAGGCTCTGGGGCTCCCAGTTTACCCACCTTCCAGCGCCAGTGCGTGGAAGGAGGAGCTGCGCTTCTGGCCGCAGGTGACAGATGGCCGCGGTTGTTGGCGGCAGTTCGTTTCATCGTTATTTACGAGTTAAGGTATGTTAGAGAGGTTATCAAGGAGCAAACATTCTCAAAATGGAAAGAAAACATCCCTAAATGAAATAACTAGAGAAAAAATTTAAGGTGAGAGGAAGCGCAAGACGGTTTGAGACAAGCCTCAGTCGGCAGCCACCAGGCGGTTCGGGAAACAGCGGCGTCCCTCAGAGCGGAAGCTGCTGTTCCAAGACCAGAGCGCTGGCAGCGGTGGGCTCCGCCCTCCCGTGTGTCGCTGCGCAAAGCCTGGCAGAGCCTCTGCGACGCGTCGTTTTCAGTCCTCGGTCGTCTTTGGAGACGCCCACCGTTGGGGCAGTAAGACCGTAGGGCGGGGAGGTGGAGAGAGTGACATGTGGCTTGGTGGGCTGGGGACCACGTGTGGCGGGACGCCGGCATCTGCCAGGCACGGCCCCTCATTGAGCAAATGCCCTGGGCCCCAGGATGGGCGATCTGTGTCTGGTTACGATGTCACATTTTAATGTGTGTTTTTCTATTCCCGTACGTCTTCCCTGTGTGGTCCCAATAGTGGTTTTACGCTTCAATTTGCATAAAATGATTTATTTCACATTTCTATAATTCCCCTTGAAGTCAGTGGACAGATAAAACTGTCAGAAGTTCCCTCCATCGTGACCAAGGTTAGGCGACCAATACTTAGGCGATGGGCTAGTTAGTTTTTTTTGCAAATGACAATGATTGGAAAATGCATAGAAATCACATTTTTATATAATCAAACCAGTTTTTATTATTAAGAAAGTCATTTAATTTTTTTGGTTTTTATCAAAAGACCGTTGTATTCATCAGCCCTTCCTAACAGAAATGACCTCTCTCGGGTGCCAGATTTTGTATGGCGAGGCGCAGACCCACGCTGTGTCTCGGTGTGTCAAGGAGCAGGCGTGGCATGGCGTGGCCCAGATCTGTTGTCCTTTCCTAGGACCGGACTGAAACGGCTCCCAGGGGGAGGGTCTGCCAAGATGCGGTCGGCTTCTCGGGGGCTCTTCCCAGGGTGGGCGTTAGCAAATTAAGTTAAGGTTTTCTTTGCTGCCAGAGCTTAGCAGAGCACCTGCCGTCCAAACTTCTCACAGAAGGCAGAGCTTGTCCAAGCGCACGGTAACGTGTGAGTGTTTGTAAGGACAAAACTGGATGTGAAAGCTGACGTTGCTGGAGGCAGGGACAGTGGGCAGAGCTGGAGCTGCCTGGATCCGTGGCCGTGGGCACATTTGACCCAGGACACGGGAGCCAGAACACGTCACAGGACCTACCGAGGCACCTCCCTCATCACAGGCTGCGCTGACCCGAAGCGCCTCCTCGGGCTCTGCCGACAGCCGGAGAACCCGGCAGGAAGGACGGCGTGGCGTGGCGATGGCTGGGAAAGGCCGCGCTGACCTCATCTCCCACGGCTGCTGCCACAACGTGCCACACACCGGGTGGCTTAAAACAGCGGAAGCCACTTGCGCGCTCACAGCTCCGGAGGCTGCAGTCTCAGACCAGGGTGTCGGCAGGGCTGGTTCCTCCTGGGGTTCAGGGGAATCCGTCCCAGGCCTCTCCCAGCTTCTGGTGCCGCGTTCCTTGGTGGGCACATACACCCCCATCTCTGCTTGCCTGGTCACATGGCCTCCCCGTACCGTGTCTCTGTCCACATTCCCCTCCTCTCATAAAGGCGCCAGCCAGCAGACATGGAGTCCACCCTGACCCTAATCCACATGAGCTCACCGTCACTTGGTCATCTGCAAAGACCCTATTTCCAAACAAGGCCACGTTCCTAGGCTTCAGGTGGACGTGGATTTGTGGGGAGGGGATACGTTATTCTACGCAGTGCAGTGGCTAAGAAGAAACGAGCCCCCCGCCCTTCTGAGCAGCTGTGGGCCAGATGACGACTGCAGGGGCCCAGAGAGGTGCCGGGTGGGGCAGGACAGGAGAAGGGAGAGGGGGACGGGCCCGCCCAGTCCAGGCTCACGCGGCCCTAAGCAGCATCACCGATTGCCGTGGGCTGCCACGCTGCCCCTCCCTGGCCTTGGCCCCTTCCTCGGATCCTGCTCTGAGCGGCCCGAGTCACCTGAAGGGAATTGACCATTCGCCACCCCTCCTTCCATGCTTCTAGAAAGAGCGGGCAGAATTATGAGCGTGTCCCCCGGTGGTAGCTTCTGCTTGTCGCCACCACACGCTGCTGTGCCTGGTTGGATGACACTGGTTCCAAACCAGTTTGCCAAGTTCAGGCGCGTAATGAGCGTGTGCAGACGTGAGATACAGTCAGGGACGTAGAGTCCCAGCCCTGGCAGACAGAAGGGGACAGGAACAGGGACGGTCGCCCTGGGAATCGGAAGCCTGCAGTCCCCAGCCCGCCGGTGGCCAAGCCATGAGGAAAACTTGCATTCCCAGCGCTGCGCCCCGCGTGAAAAACAGGGTGACTCCAGGATGGAATCGGAGCCCGAGCGCCTAGTCGGCCACTGGGCCCCAGCGCAGCCCGGGGAGAGGCGCAGAGAGCCCGCTCCTGGCGGCGGATATTCGGTCGGCACCGGTTAGTGCTCACACCGAGTGCCGTCTCAGCCTCCCGCTGAGAAAAGCCCGCCTGTCGACTGCAGTTCCCACTTTCTGGAAGCATCTCTGAGGGTCTTAGCGGGGGAAATGCATTTTCTCGTTTCCAAAGTTGATAGGCTTGATTTAAAGAAAGGTTTTTGTTTTTAGCATCTGCAGATCACAGTCCTTGCTGCGGTCAAGGAAAAGCCTGAGCCGAGTGCTGCGGGAGACCCAGAGGAGCTAAAGGTTTTCCTCCCAGGCCCTCGCCGCCCGGCAGGAGGTGGGGGGAACCGAGAGCTCAGGGTCCAGCGTGCGCCAGCAGCGCTGTAGGCGCCCATGCTGATGGCGGGCGTGTCTGTCTGTCTGTGTCGCCGCGTCGTCTGGCAGCGGCCACCCCAATCCAGGCAGAGGCACACTTGGAAAGGGGCAGCCCGGACTGCACAGTGTGGCCTGTCCCCGGGCCGCCGCCCTGGTCAGAGCCTCGGGGA